GGGTCTTGCTCTTGCTCAGGCTGGTTTCGAACTCCTGAGCTTAAACAATCCTCCCGCCTCGGCCTCCCAGAGAGCTAGGATTACAGGCGTGAGCCACCGCGCCCGGCCTCGTATCTAACCCTTTTACTAAATGAGGGGACTTAGGAACATTCATTCATGTGTCTCCAAAACCTACAAAGGTGCTTGACATATGGTAGGAGCTCAATGATGTTTGTGACTTGAATGTCTAAATGGTCTTATTGACATGTATATTTTTATTAAATACATAGGGATTGTATCATGATAAGGTCCTTCATTTCATAAAACTCATATTTATATATTCTTTTTGTTACTTTTCCTGATATTCTACAAGTGTTCATACTTCTCTTCATTAAGGTTTCCTTTGTATTTTCAGATTTCAAAGTACCAAAGTGCTCTTGCTGGAGGCACTTAAATTATAATTTAAGGTTATAATCTAATTCCTAGACCATGCACCTCTCTTCACTAGGACTGAGGCTACTGAAATATCTTATGATAGTAACAAGGTGATTTCTTTTGGATTCTTTGGAATGAAATAGCACTTGGGGAACTGCTAGCTAGAAGAAGGGATTCCAAATAATAGCTCTTTGTTCAGAGTTCCGCCATCAATTCACAGACAGGTCAATTGGCACTCATCATTTTAAACTCATCAGAGGCCAGTGTAGTTAAGAGGAATATGAAGAGTACTACAGGCAATAAACAGAGGCCTTGTAACTACATAATGTGTAGTGAGAAAGAGGATTGGAGGATCTATAAAAACTGCCAAAAGAACCAAAATATAATTAAAGGAACAAAAAGACATATTGAACACAATCTCAGGGACTATTGCAGGCAATAGTAAATGTCTCTTCAAATATATCTTTAGAAGACAGAAAGCAAAGTAGAAAACTAGTCCCATAGAAGGAGGAAGGAAAATACCAAACAAAATTATAGGAACAGTCTAACAAGAGCTGGATTTGCTTGTGTTAATTTTTACCTTTCTTTAAGATAATTTGATAGTGTCTAATCCAGAGATTAGACAATTTGAAATTCTCAGGTGAGAAGAGGATAGAGAAAAGCAAAAGGAAAACATACACACAGGTGATATTTTAGGCAAACATGGCTCAGAGTAGGGTAGATAAATTGGTATATAGGAGAATAATTGAAATTTGCAGTTCATACCTAAGTTTTGCCAACTAAGTATACTTATTTTAGATCGTGTCAATGTTACATATGGTTTTTTAAAAAAAGTTTCCACTTTTCCTTTCATTTTGTGAAAGCATGTGGGTTACACGTGACTTCCTCAAGAATAGAAAATAATCTTTCCAGTAGAAAATATTTTTCTTGACAGTGAATTTTTATTACTTGGACCAAGGAATTTCACCTGGGGAAACATGTCAGAGTTACCTGGGGGAGTTTCCCCACTAAACACGTCCTATTGAGACTCATCACCAGAGACATTTGAATAGCTCATAATAATTTTTGGAAATACACTGAATATTATCACTCTTCCCAAATCATCAACCTCTGTTTTGAGCTATAATTAGATAAAAAATAATTGACAAAGCAAAATGTATAACCAGAATAGCATATTATCAGAAGTAACATGAAAAGTTGAGTCCTTGGACACAGAAGCAGAATTTTAGCTTATGTGTGAAGCCCACCTGTACTGTAGAAGTCTTGATTCATGATAAAGGAAGAAATTATTGTAGTTTCCTTTGTGCTGAGTCATTCCAAAATATTTTTAAAGTTAGTGGCTGTGAAGACAAACCACAACAATTTTTTTTTTTCTTTTGAGACAGAGTCTC